GAAGTTTTTCATTATTACATTTGTAACAACATTACTTATTTGTAGATGATAACTACACTTACAAATATTTTTACATTTTATTATTAAAAAAAGTATATTTTTGTTTGTCATGTCCAACAAATTCTTATAAATCTAAAAATTCATTTTATTTATTCATATTCTATAATTTACACATCATAAAAATTTATTTACATTTCAAATTAATTGATATAAATAACATTTGTATTAGTTTTAATATTTTTATGAGACATTTACAAAAATGCCACTTTTTGTGTCCACATTTGCAAAAATGCCACTTTTGGTGTCCACATTTGTAAAAATATCACTAATTATGATTTTTTAGATCCTAAATCTTAAAATTCTAAACCCTAAAAAATTTTTTGACCCCTAAAACCCTTTAAACCCTTAAAAATAAATCATAATACAACATAGTTAACCACTTAACCCAAATGTAAATGATATATTGAATAAATAATTTTGAAAAAGTGACATTTTTGTAAATATTGTAAAAATGTGGCATTTTTGTAAAGTTGCACTAGAAAAGTGATATTTTTTGAAATTTCTCTATTTTTATGTTAAGTTGATCAGAGCATATGACATCAAAATTGTTTGAGCAAAATTTAATTTGATTACATTTATGCACCATACATATCATTTTATAGGTTTATAAATATTATAATACATGTTTAGATATTAAGATTAGTTAAAAAATATATTAAAATATTTAATCCACGTTTGGCGTGAGTCAAAATCTAGTGGTAAAATATTTTAAGAGAAATTCATATGATTGGAGGATTAAACTGCAAGTGTAGAAACATTTGATAGATTCAATTTTTGTTTTTTGTTTTTTAAATATGATGATACAAAAATGAGAGTATTAGGAGTCAAATCCAAAAATGATTAAAGATGAAAATGAAAGTGGAAAATTTAGGGAAAATAAGAAGGTGAGAAAATGATAAGAAAATCTGGCAAACATTCCCTAAAAAACGTGAGAGAAGATGAATGAGAGAGATGGATGCAGGAAGTCCGTTATTTGCGGCCACCAACTGTGTGTTGTAATGAGACCAGCTCGTCTTCACCAGAATAACAATGAGACTTGTTATAGTCACATCTGAAAGGAAGACAGAACGAAACCCAAATTCATCAAAGTTTCTGTCTTTCGACTCCAATCTACTAACCTCCAACCTGGGTCCCCCCCTTAAAAACTCAACCTTTTCTCCTGAAAAAGATCGACAAATTTCATTCATCGTCGATCCATCTTTTGAGTTTTAAGGGGATCCCGATCCA